TAATTTTACTCATTTTACAGAAGCCCAGACAGATGAGCACAATTACCGCAGGCTACTCACCGTGAAATAGCATGCGCTCGTTGTGGTGGTTGTGATTCTCCTCAGACACCTCCTTCTGTCTGTGACAGAATCGCTCTCTCAGCTTCTTGTTGACAACTTTCTGAATCTTTATGAAGAAGAAAGAAGCTAGTTATCAGTAAAATATAAGTTTATCATTTACTATGGTTTCCTCTATGTGAAGTCAATTTGTTTTGTTTGTTGAAGATCCTTAAAGATAACAAAGTTGCCAAGGTCAGTATTCAGCTAATACACTGGCTATCAGTGATAAAATTTTTAGTTATAATATTTGCTGCTTTGTACCAGAATTAGGCTCTTACCTCAAACTCATGTCAGGAGTTAAAAAAAAAAAAAGAGGTTGTTCCTATACTTAATGAATTTTATGAAATGGGGGTCCTATAAATCTATCTTTTTTAAAAAAAGCTCTCTAATAAATACCAATGGACAGCAGTGTAAGTTCCACAGGTTTGCTAGCTCAAAGTACTAAACTCATTCTCAATAGATTTTATTCATGATGCCCCTTTGGAAAAGCATTAACAGCTACCTATTTTAAACTACAAATGAAGATGTTGCCATTAAGAGATGCATTTATTCTCATATCATTACTGACTCAAGTACACTGACAATCTGGACCTTTCATTGTACTTTCAAAAGATAAAATCCTTGGTACAGTCCAAAGTGTGGATGAGCTGGGAGACTCATTCATAAATTCATCACCACTGATTTCGCCTTCAGAATGGTGTTTAAGGGAGTCTCAGTTTCAGTTTCTAGTGAGCCATGGTCCTGGGGGTTACAGGTTGCACTGTAGTGACAGAATCTGATATCAGGTAATAGGCAATTATTTTTAACAGTGTGAAAATACAACTTAATTTTTTACTCTTTAGATTTGACTTTTAGGCAATTCTTGCAGTACAGTTTTTATTATAAAGTTTTAAACTTACTCGTATGACATTGTATCTGTTGAATATCCCACCAGCATTACCACCATCTCTGTGTTCCCGAATAGTACTCTGCATCTATAAAACAAAATGTAATAATTAACTTCATGAAAATATGAAGTTAATTAATAAGTTAATTAATAAGCCAGAGTGTAACATTAATGATGCTCCTTCCATTGTTTTCAATATTTAAATTTTTATATCGTTTCAACTAATAAATCTAGTTGGTTAACACATTTAGTAGATAAGTACTTTTGTAAGTAGTCATATTACATTTATATATTTTCTCACAGAAGCTTTGAAAGATTTTCCCATAAACACAGCTGAGAAACAGACAATATCACTTTAAATCATCTACATTTACTATTTTATGCTATGGAGACAGAGAAACAACATTGTATTGAGATCAAACCTCTTCACACTGATTAATACCCCCTTAGACAAATGCTAAAAATAATTCCTAAAAATCCAGTATATTTTTATTCCCAAGGTGAAGCATTCCACATTATCCCAACAGTCCTTATGTTAGGTACTTGAGGTCTAACTACATAGACAAGGGCAAGGTGAATACGATCTTCAATGAACTAAACGGAATAGCTTTCTTCTCCCACTATGCATTCTGCTACTCTAACTGAAATTATGAAAACTAAATAAAGCTTTTTTAAAGACCCATATTTTTTGGGCTGAGATGTAGTCAGTGGTAGAGTTCTCGTCTAGCATGTACAAGGCAAGTCTGGGGCAACAAAAGGCCATTCAGTGCCAGCAAACAGGATGTCCTCCTGAGAAGCTGGCTAATAAGCATGAGCCAAAATACTGCTCGGGGACAATGGTCTTGATTTCCCAACTTGAGAGTGAAAATCACATGAATGTTACTTAAAAACAAATGAGTACATCTTTATCTGCTTATACCTTTGCACAACTGTAGAACCAGGCAGCCTACTTATAATAATGAAATTACGGGTGAGAAGTGAGGCACAAGCCATCAACAGAGAGGGAATCTCCATGCCACTGATGCACCACGTGGGCCATACAAATAGCCTTACTACAGTGCTTGAGAATTATACAGCAGGCTTCTGAACATATGTGAAAATTAGATATATTTTAGAACTACATAAAAATTAAGATTAGAAGATACCTGCTATCAATGAGGCAAGATTCTCATTCCATATTACCTTAGGTAGCATTCTAATATAACAAACAGTTTCAAGGAAGTTTCTACATTAAAAAGTCAGATCTGCTGTAAAACGAGATAGGCTTATAAGTGAAAACAATGTGGCATGGTTCTAATCCAAAGTCATATTTTAATTTCAGCAATATTCCATTGCAACAGCTAAAGGAGACTGATTAGTATGTATGGGATCATATAGTAGTATAAGATGAGCTTATGCCTTCTGGAAGGGCAGGCCTAACTCTAGACTCAGGAAAGGAAAATTAACAGTTTTGGAGTCCATTACCTCTTCTTCTACTGACTGATACTCTTTATCTTCTGGAGCAAGATCTAGCAAAATCGTTCCCTGGTTTACACAGTGAAAAGTCAAATAAGGATTGGTTCCTGGGAGAGAAAAAGAGTCATAAATATTGGCATTCTGGTATGAGTCTAAACTATTTTCAATTTAAATATCAAACATATATTAAACAAATACAACTAAGATAAGAAATGGAGATGTGCTCAGGGATCTATTTTATCTGTTATTAGTGAGCTCTCTGTATAGAGAAAGTCTCTCAACAAACAGTTGTTAAGCTGAAATCAGTAGTGAAGATATGTCTGACTCAAACCGGTACCACACTGAAATTACAATGTAATTAAGTCTAAAATATAGGAATTATTATCTAAACCTTCTTCTTGGGTGACTTGAAAGTCACAGTAGTTTTATAATACATTATCCTTATAATTTCATGTATGGTCTAAAATACAGACAAATAAGCATCAGTCAAATTCAGAAACCTCCTTTTTAGTTTGTCACCTTGAAATTTTATTAGCTATGTAGACTGACTAATTCCCTTGGCTCCCTGCAGTGAAAGTACGTCCAACAAATAGAGAAATGATAAACACAAGCAAGAAATCTGTAAGAGGCTTGTAACAACAAAGGACAATGGAAAAAGACTGAGCTGACAGTCACGAGGAAGGGAGAATTGTTCAAGGTCAGATTATGAAGATTGGGTTGTGGGGTCTGATTCCACCCAAAAAGCTATGGGATCCAACTGAAGGGTTTTAACCACAGAGATTTTAGCATACACTCATTGGGAATAACCCTCTGGTTACACTGCAGAGAAAAGCATGGAAAGCAATGGTGAAGGCCGGAGACAAGCCTCACAGCTGGGAGCCATCAGGAATGGTGGTAGTGGCTTGAATTAGGTAAAATAAGTGGGGAAAAAGCAGTACACTCTAGAGGTTACAGAGGACTTAGGATGTAAAGTACAGGGAGAAAAGGCAGAAGGATGCCCAGATCTCTGGGTATGATGGGAGTGGGATGCCAACCACTGACATGCAGAAGACATGATTATTCCGGAACAATTATATGCTGAGACCTTATGGTCCCACTGCCTGAGCGCCAATGCCAGCCTTGACATTCATCTTGTATCACTGATTTCTGAAAAATTTTCCAAATAGCTCACCTTGCTGTCCACCTAAAAGTCTTTCTACTCCTTTTATTAATTTGTGGCGGTGTCCATACGCATTGATGCCTATTTCTTTCAATTCTTCATGACCCATATCAGCCAACACATCTAGTGTAATCTGAAAAATGAAAAAAAAAAAAAAAATTGCTCAATCTTGCAGCTCCTCAGAGGATAAAAGCTCTTCCATTTGTCTACAAAGCTATGATCACCAAACAAATTTTATTTTTATTTATTTATTTTGGCAGAACCGGAGATTGAACTCAGGCCCTTGTGCTTACCAGGCAAGCACTTATCCTACTGAGCTATCTCCCCAGACCCTACCAAACAAATTTCAAAGATTGTTCTGTTTCCTTTTTAAGTCTGAATTATAGTTTCCTTGATTACCTTTTCAGCTTTTTCCCCCTAACTCAAAATACTCTCTTTGCTTTAAAATCAATGGCGAATTAAAAAGGAAAAAAACACTACTGCAGACACACAAAAGAAAAGACACACACACTGCTATATTTCTTTTTGATGATTTACATCTTTGATCTTCTGTACCTTGAGGCTTAGTAAAGATCAGTAGCTTGTGGATGGGGAAACCCTGTACCCTAGAATCCAGCAGGAAACAGAAAGCAATGGCAGGGCAGAGAGAGGGGGGTTTGGTATGACTGGCAGAATGCAGTATAATGAGTAAGCAGTTTTAGGTTAGCAGATTTGAGGTAAAGACGAGGAAGTTCCCTCTGCTAACAAGTATTCAGGGTAGGAATAGGCTGCCTAGAAAGCAGTGATTTATTGAAGGACGTATTAAGTTAGAGGTCAGTTTTTAAAAAGCTACACACAAAAATTTTAGTTTGGGCAAGGAAAGAAAGTAGATGGTTTTGAAATCTCTCATAGACTCTAATATTTAACAATCACTGCTGTTGAAATTTTTGGGCATTTATCCTTGTAAATGGGGATGATTAGTTGGCTCAAAAATCTCTAATAATAGTATCTGAGAATCAAGTGTGACTGTGCTACCACCCAGTGGCAGTGTTCTGCAACATACAGGACGAAATGGGGTGGCCACATCTTTTGAGGGCCGATCTATAATTTCACTGCCTAGAAGTAGGCTCTGTGACAATCCAAACATAGCTTTTAATTTTCAATTTCCTTGGAAAACTAAGAAATCCTTTTATAGACACTCTTCTGCTAAGTCAAATGAGATATTTGTAGTCCAGCCACTGCTTTTCTACCCTTCTTGGGCTTAATGTTTAAAAAAACGGATTGGGCCTGCAGCTCTGCTGATTTTTATTGTCAGAATGAAACATTATATGAGTCTGATCATCTCAGTGCATCTCATGAGCATACATCACTTACGCTCTGAAGTAATTTAGCATATTGCTTCTAAGTGGCCATTTAAGAAATAATTGCTCCATTGCAAAAAATGGGCAATTCACTTTGAATCACCCAAAGGAAGTTTTCATCAGAGCTTTTAAAAGCAACACTTCTGAAATAGCTATCTTTGAAACAGAAGAGTTTACAAAATAATTTTGATTTTTTTACATTTTTATTTAAATGTGCCTTTAATTACTATCTATTGATATTCTATTGCAAATATATGCTAGATAAAAATAGCCCAGAAGACTTCTGATTATCTGGATATAACAAACTTAAGGTTAAGAGGGATTAAAGACATTCAAAAAGATATTTTAAGCAATCTATAGGGACATAAAAATCCTGAATCTTGGAATTAATCTGCCTTCCCTATAGTTTCTTTTTATGGATACACTACTACAGAGGTAATTCAGTTCACAAACGTTTTGTTCTATAACTTTGGACAACTTTCTTCTACACTTTTGGCTTTTTTTTTTTTTTTTGCGGAACTGGGGATTGAACTCAGGCCCTTGTGCTTAGCAGGGAAACACTTATTCTACTGAGCCATCTCCCCGGCCCCACTTCTACACTTTTGGAAAAGATGTCCACATTTGTATCTTCTTGTGTGGGAAAGATGGATGTGGTCATGTTTGTCACCTGATGCAGAATTTGCAAAGAAAAATAAAATTCTGCCAAACGCTTCTATTTGCAAGCCTGTTTGCAAACAAAAGCATTCGTGAACTGTAATTCCACTGTACTTGTTCAAATTAGGTTTCTTAAGTGAAGAAGTATTTGAAACTCCACAATTATTTTGGATATGATTACAATGAAAAGATATAACTTTAATGTCGCTGTAGCAGAGGTTTAATGTTGTCAACACAAAAATCTTCAAGAAATCAAAGAGGTAAAAGAATTCTTACTGTTTTTTATATTCACCTAAGCTATTTCTATAAATCAAAAGATGAATTCATAGAAATTCTTTTTGTTTTTAATCATGTAAGTATGTATGTATTTGGTACAGGGTCTCGCTATGCAGCTTGGACTTATAATGATCCTCCTGTCTCAGCCTCCCCAGCACTGAGATTACAGGTGTGTACCACCATATCCAGTAGAGACTAGCACAGTGTGGGGCCAGCAAGACATGCAGTATTGGGGATTGAACCTAGGTCCTTGTCCTTCCAATGCAGGTGCTTAGACCACTGAGCTATCTTACTAGCCCAAATACACGGAAATTCTTATAGCACTCTCTTAATCTTCACCACCTAAAAGAAGACCCATGAGATGTGTTTACTAAAGTACATTTTAAAAATTGGCACAAGATGGCATGGAATTATAACTCCCTTGACATTAGTAGGTATTTTATAGTTAAAGGAAGTGATAGGTTAAATGTCTTTTAACGTAAAGTTACACAGCTAGTAAGAAGGAAAAAATAATTAGAATCAAGGTCTTCATTTAATCCACTAATACTTCTATTCAAGAATTTTGATCATTGAAAGTGTTACAGATGAACTATAATATAAAAGAAAATTAGCAAAAAGAAAAACCATAATAGAAAAAAGATCTCAGGTTTAATTAGCCTACAGATAGATTATAAGTCTACAAAGAAGTCAGAATAGGGCAAAGGCCAGTGAAGAATTCAGAAGCTATATCACATAAAGAACAACTGAAAAAGTCAGAATATTTCTCCTAAAATAGGGGTAGATTTGTACAGGTAAGTGATTGAAAGGATAAACTCTTATGATGAGTTGACTAGGTTTTAAAAAGACAGGAAAGGCTGTATTATGGTAAAGTGGGCTGATTGGTAGCCCTTAAAAAGAAAGGTCAATGTTTTTTAACCCCTAGGATTTGTGAATGTCACAAGGAGTTTCCAGATGTAATTAAAGATCTGGAGATGAGACCATCATGAAGGGTAGGCCGCATGTTCAGTAAGAGAAACATGGAAAGTGATTACATGGGCAGGCCCTAAAGTCTTATAAAAGAAGCAGAACAAAGACAGGCAGATGAGAAAGCAAGGTGAAGATGGTGGCAGGAACTGAAGTAATGTGGCCGAAAGTCTCAGAAGCTGGCAGACACACAGGATGGCTTCTGCCTCAGAGCCTCTGGAGGGTATGCCGCCTGACATCATCTTGATTTCAGACTTCCGAGGGAATAAATTGCTATTTGGCCACTAAGTTGTTGTAACTGACAATGGCAGGCCTATTAAACAACATATATGTACATTGCAGGTTACATTTCTGAGCAAAACTCAGTAAACCTGAGACAAATGGATTAAACAGGGGGCAGAGTTGGGCATAATTTAGTAATAAGCATTCCTGCCTGGACGACATGGATAACCTAAAGGAGTGACTTAATGACCTCTAAATACTCTTCCCATGCTAAGATTCCATGTATATCAGTAATTGTTAATTTAAACTCAGGTACTGAGCCTCTTTCAGTATTTAATGCTGACAATGATAATAATAAGGACCAGGGAGATAGCTCAGCAGAAGAAGCACCTGCCTGGCAAGCACAGGGTCCTGAGTTCAATCCCTCATACCGCAAAGAAAAAAAAAAAAGATAATAATAAATACATGCAATATGAAGAACTCATTATCCAGTAGAAAAATAGCATGAATATGGAAGGATCTTGATTTGCAAATAATACTAGAGAAATGAGATGAAGAAATGCTAACATAGTTTTTAAGAACAAAATTAAGAGAAAAAGATAATTTTGAAAACGTTCTTTTGAGGTAGTTTTATGGGCTATGCTTGTTTGTTTTTGTGGGGCTGGAGCTGCTCCCAGGACTCTGTGCATGCTAGGTAAGCTACGCTCCAACCCTCATAGTCTTAAGTTCTGAGAGGTGATGAAATGAACACACACAAATGCTTACAAAGATAAAACAAGGTAACAAAGACTCTCAATAGTTTATGGGAGAAGTATAAAATGGCTTCTATACAAATGTGTTACAGGTTTTAAAACAGCTGTTAAGTAGGAAAAAAAAAGGCAACTAATAACTTAATGTTTAACCAAAGTTTCAAATACATAGAGAACAATTTACCTGCTCTGTTTCAAAGATATCCCGCAGATGTTCAAGGCCAAGGCTTTTTAGGAACTGGCTGATATTCATGTCAAGACCAGCAACTGGAACAGAAACAGAATAAAGATTCTCAGAAAGAATTTCATGAATCTAAAGAAACTTTCACTGTCTATTTAAAGCCATGTTGTTTGGTTACACAGAAGATTTTACATAGCATAACATAATTCAGAATACATAAATTTACTTCAGGTATTTCAAGTTATCGCTGAGTTTGGCTCAGAAGGAAAAGCAGAGTGCTTTATCACTTCAGTAATGCAGGCATCTGTCCTAATGATGAGGTTAGAATTAGACTTAGAATACAGAATTCAATAATATACCTACATATACATGCTATATTGAAATTGTACTTCTACTAGCATAAAGTACTGTTTTATACAGGATAACTTAATACTTTTGACAAATGAAAAAATCAAAATGTACTATTGTTTTAGTTTGTACTCCTTAAATAATCAGTTGTTTTCTAATGTAATTTCAGTAATAAGATTCACTCAGCAGTTCAGGAAGATACTATCGTTGGAGATGGACATACCAGAATACAATATAAATAAATAATGTAGGTGCCAAAGAAAGGGCAGCTTTCTATGAAGTACTTCTTGTAAGATGATGTGTGTTCAAAATTTACAGGTAGGATATTTAAGTGATGTGTTCAATAACAACAGAAAAAAGTGAAACTGTTCCAGGAAAAAAAAAAAAAAAAAAAGGTACAAAGAAGTCAGTCTTTGTAGACCACACGCACCTTCTCCTTCCTTCCTTTCCGTACCGGCTGCACCATCTCCGGCATTGGAGGCTCCGCCTACTGCCAACTCTGCTAATGGGCCAGTGAGGTTATCTATGCTGCTGGCCGCAGACAGGCAGGAGGGGGTGGATGCTGGTGAGATCAGAGACGCACTCACTACAGTCGCCTGAGGTTTAAAACAGGTAGGTAAAGCTTCCGGGGGCATGGCATCTATCAGCAGCGCTCTGATATCATCAGCCTAAAAAGAATAAAAAATTAAAAAACAAAACAAAACACACACACACAAAACAAAAACAAAACAAACAAACAAACAAAACCAGTGTATTATAAAAGTTAAGTTTTTCATTAAGTACTGAACATTGTGTGAATGTTTTCTTTTTTCTTTGTCCATGCCAGGCACAGAAACTGGAACTTGGAAGTTGTGCGTTGCTGTAACAAAACTATGAAGTGGCTTTGGCTGGAGCCAGGTGATGGCACAGTGGCTGCTACAGAGGGCTAGAAAACAGGCAGGTTTGTGGAGGCTAAAGATGGGAAGTGAGCCATGCAGTATCGCGCCTGCAAGCACTGGCACACGAAGAATACGAAAGACAAAATGCACCTATGAAACTTGGAGGTGTATCTTAGGTGATTTCAAGAATGTGGACTCTGCCAACTACACTCAACTGCTTTATCTGCCCATCATAAGGTACAGCAAGAGAGAAATGAACTAAGAAAGTATTTTATTCTCTTTAAGGAAATACATTCAGTCAAGATATGTTAAATTGGAAAATAAAATTACACCTCATCTTCAATAAAACATGGCCTCACAGTACATGTCAGTTCACTGGTCTGATTATATTACCAAAGCCTTAACAAGACTTTTTAAGTGGTAGATTTTGAATTCTGAGATAGATGAAAGAACTTCTCTAAGAATCTTAAGGACATTGCTCCATAGTACTCTGACTTGCAATCCAAATCAGAGAAGGACGTGTTGCAAAAACACCTGAGGCTGTAGCTTCTGTCCAATGCAATGGATGTTCCTAGAGAGGAACCTCAAATTTATAACCATATCAATTGGGACTAAAGGATCAGATAGATCAAAATCAAGAAAGGTCTCGACATTTCTAGGAGCATAGGGCAGACTGAAAAAGCCACTTAACTGTAAATAGGGATGGATTCTACAGAAAGAGTACGATGACTCTGAAGATACAGCCCAGTGTTATAGAAAGCCAGGAAAACCGCTCCCCTGGGGCCGAAGTAGGCTCTACTCAAGGACCGCTCTGACTTCTGAGTAGATGGCTCTGAAAATGTATGCCTGAACTGGACTTTAGAACTGCTATGGACCAGTGATAGCTACCTGCTCACCTTGGGAGGGCTGTGAATGCAATGTAAATGTGAGAGAAATGTACATAATTTGTGGCCACAGGGTAGGATACTGGTAGAATAAAGACTACTACAAAATCTTTGTTTTGCCCTTAAAGGAGGTACAGTCAATTTTTCTATCTTTTTTTTTTTTCTTTTTGCAGTACTGGGGGTCGAACTTGGGTCCTTGAGCTTGCCAGGCCTGTGCTTATGCCACTGAGTCTTATCCGTGGCCCTGGGTTTTGTTTTTTCATTTCTGTATTCGGTACAAGGTCTCACTAGGCAGCTCGGACTCACAGTGATCCTCCTGTATTCAGCCGGCCCAGTACTGGGATTACAGGTGTGCACCACCATGCCTGGACTCTAGTTCGCCGGCTCAGCATGACTCGGCATGCAGGACTAAGGACTGAACCCTGGTCCCTCACTTTTCTTCTTTTTATGTAAGCTGGCTTTTCATAACTTGCTATGCACAAGAAAATGCAGTGGGATGCATAGCCCATTAGCCTTTAAGAGGAATGATAGCTTTTGCCATCTCCCTTGTGAAATGCAAAAACCCTATTAAAAACTGCAGCAAGATTACTTGACGAGATAGCACACGGGGACTGACAGGAGAGTTCCACCCTTCAACCACCTCTGCCCCAAGGGTATCAGTGGAGCCGTCTTTCCATTCTTGCTTCTGCCAGTAGGTGTACGCAACTAACTGCCCAAGTGACCCCAGCTTTTTCAGTGTAAGACTACTCCAGCCAAAGTGAGGAATCATGAGGTATTATTCTTAGTATTTTAAGCTATCAACTGCTTTCAAACAGTCTGTTATTCAGCAATAGATAAATGCAATAGAATATAACATGGAAAATTCTTTCTGGCTTAAAATTATAAATTATTGTGACTATTAAGCAACTTTCAGAAAGTTCAGAAATGATGAAAGGTTTAATTTAGCAATTAAATTTAGTTTTAAAAATATTTTTACAGTATACTGACTTTTCTTTTTTCATAAGAATACCATATTGCCCAGAGTGAATTTTTAAAATCTATTTCATGGATATATACTATACATATTTTTGAGAACATTAGTTATTCCACAATAATATGCCATGTTTAGAAGGTTCAAGGTATTTTGTTAAATGTAACTGAGGATCCATGCTAGAAATAGGATTTCCTGTGATTCATGCTTTCTCTTTGAAACTAACCTAAAGTAATTAATGAAATTAATTTACTACCTGATTTATCTTAACAAAATTTTAAGTATAACAAATGAGAACTTCAAAAAACTTTCAGAAGAAAACGTGTCCCTTTAGTTTTCTGTTAGTGCTGATTGTTTTACCACTGGATTTCACCAAGACGTGTTCATAAATGCACGTCTGCATTTATGCACTCGCATCCACTCCCCACAAGCCCCCTTCTCTAAGTGTCCCTTCTATTTTTTATGTCATCTCTTCCTCTTCACTTTTTCCTAGATTCTACAAATGAGAGAAACAGGTAACACTTATCTTTTTCATCTGGCTTAAAGAATCTGTTTTCACTCTAAACAAAGTGAACGTGACTAAAGGTAAACGTATTCAGCTGGAGAAAGTAATATCATCTCTGAAATTAGCATGAAAAATAGTGAACATCCGAAATGAAGACTTACTGTGGCCAGGTCTAAAGGTGTCTGACCTTCTTGGTTCTTCATAGTTGGATCTGCACCATGTGCTAGGAGCAGGGCACATAACTGTGTCCTTCCTTTTTGGGCTGCTTCGTGAAGTGGAGTAAATGCCCACTTATCTGTTGCGTTTACACACGTGTTGTATTTGATCAGTAATGCTGCTATGTCAACGTGCTGAGGAAATACAAAAGAATGCACAAAGTTAAGAATGAGAACATCTGAAGTTCCATCATGCAGGCTGTTTTCCTTATAACAATTTACCTTTTCTGTATTTGTATTTTCATCCTTTATAGAAATTTCTTCTAATGTAAAAAGAGTATTTTGCTCCTCTATCTGTATTTTGGACTTCCATCTTTTCTAGCTTTCTACAAAAATGTCAATTCCAGAGGGCTGGCCAAAGAGCTCAGGGGATTTGTGCAGGGGCCAGAGTTCAATCCCCAGGCCTGTTGTGTTGGCCCCGCCCGTGGGGCAGGCTGATATGGCAATTGAGACTGGGAATGGTGGTGCACACCTGTAATCCCAGCTCTTGGGAGGCTGTAAACAGGAGAATTACTATGAGTCCAATCTAGTAGTGAGACCCTGAACACGCTGTAGACCCTTCCCTTAAAAAAAAAAAAAAAAAAAAATTCAATTACACAAGTATTCTTTTATTCTGTAATTCTGCCTGAGCTTTTTATTTTTTACTCAATTGTCTAGCGTATTCAATTGTCTAGCATATTCTAGCATATTAAAAACTAGTACCTAAGATGAACTTGCTCTTGATTCTAAGTCTTCTATTAGTGATTTAACCTGCCAAATTTCTCAGACTGACAGGCTATATATACTACTTCTAATCTTCCCATTTCTCTTCTAACTTGCTGTATATGATCAAAAGATTCAAATGCTTTTTTTTACCCAGCCTTTGGAAAAGTAACATAAAATATATGACAAAAAATAGTCTGTTATGTCCAAAATGATTTACTACAGGGCAGTTAACCTATACAGAAGTGTCCTACTGTTAACAGTATGAAGTGGGGGAGGGGCAGGCAGCCTAATCAGACTAGGTCTTCCAAGAACAGGCTATGTTTTGTGATCCTTTAGAGGTTATGAGACTATACAATTAATTTTAGAGTTCAATTATTTTTAGACTAACACCAAAGAAGAAAGGAGGTATTATGTATGGTACTATTGAAATCATTTAAAATAAAACCCTAGTAATTTACTCTTATTCAAAAGATACATACTGGAAAAGCAATTTTTGTTTAATTTCAAATTTCTCCTGAGTCTTGTTATAAGTTATTTACATTATGCTTCTGATAACTATTTTTATTCTACTTCCATATTTACTGTCAAAGTAAGGTAATTCAGTAAACTAATGTGTACAATCTTCCAAAATTAGATAGTCCAAGAAAATTATGCTTCTGTATGTGTGTATGTATGAAACCAATTGTACAACCAGTATGTATTGTTAAGCTTTCTTTATACTGAATTTAGAGTTTATGCTTAGGGAAACTAATTACATTCTTGTTAAATGTGCTGAAAAATGTCTGAAAGAGCAATGAACAGGAAGGAGTTCATTACTGTCCAAATAAACTAAAAACACAATTCTTGAGCTCTGTAATTTTTTTAAATAGCTACACCACTGGGGCAAAAATAGTAACTGAAAATTAAGGACGACAAATGCAGTAAATAAGCTGTAACTCAGTACTACCCACTCTATGAGAGCAAAAAGTTTCCAGGAGAAAGAGTCAATTTAACATGGTTTCAGAATCAGCTGCAAGAGAAAATGTTTTAAATGACAAACACAACTAGGAGGGTTTTCATGTGACTTTAGAAAGCTGGATATGGAAGGAAGAGAAATGTGCTTGGGTTTCAGCTAAGTAATTTAATTGTTACACGGGCTTTCTCACAATGATGTCAAAAAGTCCCTAAAATTTCTTTTAGGGAAAACACTGGAAAATGAAAAAATTGAGAAAGAAAGCTAACAAACTCTCTGTGTCTTTACAAGGTATGATAAAAATGGTGAATGCCACTGCCAAGTGCCACCAACAGAAAGGCAGGGTCCTGAGAAAGAACGCGACAGCCTGTGCTCATCCACCCGATTCACTGGACCTGGCACTGCATCACTTCTGGCTCTTTTTCCAAATCAAAATGACCAAGAGAGGCAAACGTCTTCGATCAGTTCCGAACACTGAGATAGCCAAAGACACAAAAGAGGACTTCCAGAAACCTAAAAGTGGCAAGAACAATGGGTACGTTCCAAGTGAGGGGGATTTTGAAGCTGGTTACTGGCATGTGTCTCTTACTGTAATATATTTTTAAGTTTAAATATTCATGGGTAATTTTTTATTATGTCTCATGCATGACATAATAAGCTGAGCGCAGTAGTATATGTCTGTAATCCCACACACAGCTGATCGAGTTCTTTACAGGGAAAAGAAGAAATATACATCAAGAAATAATCACCAATAAATAACTGCATAAGTAAAAAGCTATGTATTTTTACAGGCATCTCATATTTTTATCTGATCTTGAGGCTAGACATTAACACTGATGTGGAGATGGTCAAATATATAGGTTATTTTTAAGACATAGAAAAGGCATGCTGCTCTCATGCTGGCTGGCTCGGTAAATGAACTGAAAGAGGCAAGGCGGGTGATAAGAGTACCTTGCCCTTTTATGTGGTCAGGTTACAGTATGGACTTTATACTGTTTCTTTATTTTTTTTTTTTTTTTCACTGTTTAAATCATTATAAGTTTTTTAACCCTTTAAAGAAGATCTGAGCACCTAAGTTTGGCTAGCAGGAAAAGTGAAGTTTGGAAAGACTAAGGGCCTTGTTGAAGGCTGCTGTGTTACTGAGAAGACTAAAGACCAGATTCTTAAGGTTTAGACTACAAGTTTAGGTTCTTTTCATGATAATACAGATGTCTGCAGGGTCTTGCTAAATTAAAAAAATAGTAATTTTTCTCAAAGTAAAAACAGGAAAGTATGGTATTTGGTAGTACTTTACCTATAACTGCTCTATAAGTTGCTTTATTATTACTATAGAAGCCTCTATTTGAGTAAAAATATAAACTACGTGGCCCAGCCAGCTCAAATATCACAGAGATCAATATCATACAGTCAACATTTTGGCATCCTAAATATCCAGCTAAGGCATATGTATAAACACAAGCAAAAGGAACTTTCAAGAGATTTATAGGTTTCTACATCTATTAAAGATATTCATCCTTTATTGAAAGGAAGACAAAGTAGTTCTAAAAAGTTTTCATAAGTCATTTATGATAGGTTATATCCCAATAAAAGCCATCACAAGTGGAAAACGTAAGGCGGACATGCATTTAATACACCTAAGTGTAACAAAGTCCACTGTGAAGCTGTTTGCTCTTATGTGGGGGCAGAGAGGAGCTGTGGCTGGCTGCTGCAGGTCAGATCCCAAAAGACTTAGGGGTACGTACTGCAAACCTGGAAAAGACTGACTGTACAGTTTTTACTCAATGTGTATTGCTTTGGTATCACTGTACAGTTGAAAAAATTATGTCAAATCATTGAAAGTTGACAACCACCTATTCTGTTAACATCAGTCCTAATTTTAACTGAGATTGATACATTCTGATTTGATACGGTATCTGACAGTAGATTAAAGGCTTAAAATAACATTACATAAACTTATTTTATAGAGCAGAGGGTCTCAGTGGGGAGGACGACCTTACTAGCTGCAATCTCAAAATCACCATGTATCATGAGAGAGATTACTAAAGGGGTAGGTTACATATGTGAAAAGTGGGACAAAAAAAGGTCAAGGAATTACCAAAGGTTTTAGTAAATTAATAATGCATGGTCATTAACTCACAGTTACTTGTTTTTTGAGCTTATAGATTTAATATATGAAGGACTTTGAGTGACTCAAAACACCACACAATGAGGTAAAAATCCTTGCTACAAACACATTATCTAGCATGAGAAAGGAATGGGTTGCTTACAGCCTCTAGCAAATACCTTCATATAAAGGTTGGAGAATTTTCTGCTCATTTTCAAATCAGTAAGTTACCTTCATTTTATTGAGCTAAGCAGTAGGGATTTGATAACAAGTGGTATGACATAAAAGAAATAGTGAAAAAAAAATGTGACTTTTTCTCAGTTGGAGATATAAAAAAGAACAGGAATTATATTAATTGTGAAGTTTATGACAGTGGAACTCTAGGCTGCTGGTTGTGGCACTGCCTGCCTTACACCCACCTCTCTTCACCTAATGACCAGCCAGCTTCCGAGGAGCATGAAATAAGACAGGGTCAACCTGCACTCTCCACTACTCTGTAGGCAAAAGGAGACCACTGCAAAGGTTCTTCTCTTCAGACTGGCTCGCAAATGACCCGCACATACATAAAGTAGCATCCCAACATTTTCACTGTAAGAATGGAGGCAACCCTTTCTTTCTTTTACAGAATACCTGTCAAGACTCTGAAAGTAGAAAACAGAAGGCGCAGAACTCTTCCACACACAGTCTATGAGCTCTCCAACTGTCTATACAGTTAACAGTGACATAAGCTTTATCAGATCAGATGACTAGTACAATATTTTGCCACCATTCTCCTTATTCATTAGGTTTACACTGAAGATAGAGCATTCCAGTTTACTGATTTTCATCAAGTTTATAAATGTTTAATTGAAACTGAGAAAAGGGATTAGCAAAAAATAAAATGGAGACAAGAGTGCTGCTAAAGAAGTGCTGAAAATTACTTGCCACAGGACATACATGTGTAGGTATAACTTAAGGGTAAAAGAATTACACACAACTTTATATGCAGCATGTTAGCAATAAAATAAGTAGCATACAAGATTTCTAGTGAAAATATTAGTTGCATAATGAAACCGAGAATTTTATGTGAAGGTTAAAAGAAAATCCTGATTTTGTTCCTGATCCTGCAGGCCATGCTGGCCCGGCCCTGGTTGTACTGTGCTGGCATCTGAGTCCAGTCGTGGCAATGCACGTCTGTAATCCCAGCACTGGGGAGGCTAAAAACAAGGAGGATCACTACAAGTCCAAGCTGCATAGTGAGACACTGTACTAAACACATGAAATTAAAAAAAAAAAAAAAAAAGAAAGAAAGAAAAAGAAAATCCTTGATTTCAATGAAAAATTATCATTTTTTTGAAAAGGCAACTTTATTACAATTTCAAAAGATTTTAGCATTGATAATGTATTTACTAAGCATAACTTTGAATTATTTTATATCATACCTAAAAGTTGTCTCAGTGCCTTTTCATTTGTTGCTGGGATAAAGTACCCAACACTCACAATTCAGGAAGGAAAGGTTTATTTAGCTCATAGTTAGTGGAAGTTTCAGTCCATACTCAGCTGGCTCCAAGACAGAGTGCAATGGAAAGCAGCAAAGAGTAAAGGGAGGAGCAGCACCTGCTGCAGCTAGCAAGCCCCTCTCCCCTCTACATTTGTATGCAGATTATCTGCCCCAGGGCGGGTGTAGTATTCACACCTGTAATCCCAGCATTGGATCATGAATTAATCACAAACTCCAGAAGCTGCCCTTATTGCATGAGGCTTTGGGGAGACATCTAGACATAAAGGATAACAGAAGTACAGTTTTCTTTCCTGTCTGTTCAACTTAAAAGTAGACTGCTTTCCTTAGAAGTATTTGCATTCAAGGTGCGGGGGAGATGGCTCAGTAGAATAAGCACTTGCTTGGCAAGCTCAAGGGCCTGAGTTCAATCCCCAGTACTGCCAAAAAAAAGAAGTATTTGCATTCAGATCATCACCTCCCTGAAATAGTAGTCTTTGCAGAATGGATGTGGGAAGATTAAGATACTTTGAAGGGCAAGGAAGAAGAGAACAAGAAGGAAGAACTGATTAGTCTGATTTTTATTTTTAATTTGTTAGACTTTTGCAAAACTACAAACCTTCCTTGACAATAGTGAATTCAACTGTGAAAACACCTGGCACATACAAAATGTCATCTGTGGAGTTTTACAGGTTAAATAGAGCTGACATGGAAGAACAGAGAAAGGTCTTATTTCTATTGCAGTGAAGCAATCAAGCTTGACAAGACCATGATTACCAGTCAGTCAGTCCTAACAGATGTCATCCAGCCCTCACAACATGTACCTCTTCAAGCTGGTCGTTGCGGGTATACCACTTTAAAGGGTGCTACTAGACTTGTACTGTGGATTTTTATTTAGTCATCAAATTTCATGAAACTATGTGTACCAACTACTCAACTACTTACCTGAACATTTTGGAAATGCCAACAAGAAATGTTACACTACCATAATTTCTACACCTGTGGAAATAATCCAAGCCTCCTGGCTTTTAAACTTTCTAAACCATAACTGAAACAGAGCCAAGCTATATCATCTATGTCCACAAATATTAACTGAACACCCACTTTATATCTATTGTTGTGCTACATAATGTGGTGTGACTAAAAAGCTTTAAAAATCATGGTTGCTGGCCAAAAAATAGGGAGGCTGCAAAGATGAGATAAAGCTTGAAGAGAAGTTTGAAATACAGCTAAAACATGCCACTGCTTAGATATCTACTTCCTTAGCCTGTAGTATACATTTAATAAGGTAATAAATGTCAGGGAAGTCTTCTAGATTTTAACTTTAGCATGCTCACCCCATAAGATGCTGCATTATGAAGAGGAATTAAACCGCCTTTGTCCTGGGCATTAACATCTGCTCCGTGCTCTAGAAGGTATTCAGCTACTTCCAGGTTATTGTAGCCTGCTATTAAAGTACAAAAGGAGAACTTGTCAGCTTAAGAGACAAAAATTTACATATATAGACCAGAAAAATGTTGCAACTTTAATTTCATTTGTTCAATAACTAATACTATTATGATACAATTGAAAGCTGTTACAGTAAGAAATTATACTAAATTACATCAATCAAAAAGTTCCTTTTATGCTCAGAATTTTGTTTATCTTCTGGTTGGCCATACTAAGTACTCAGACAGGAAAATAAGGCTTGGCAGCACTGGTGATGCTTACCTGCCAGGTGCAGAGGAGTGGAGTTTCTGCCCTGGGTGTCTCTGCAGTTGATATTCTCTGGGGTGCAAAGCTTCTGCACTCTTGCCAGGCAGCCCTTCTTCGCAGCATCCAACAGGGCAGCGTCCCCTCTCAGTAGGTCCTGAATGTCTGTGTCCCCTTCCTTGACCAAATCTAGAGGTGTGTTTCCATCCCTGTTCTTCTTGGTTGGATCTGCTCCATGCTATAAGGGAGTTAAACAAGAGAGGTTTGCATTTTCTGTAGTACCTTTACGTAGGCAGGTAGTACGCACACATTTACTCATTCAGTCACAGAGGAAAGATACACATTCTCTGTGCACTTTGAAAAAGGGAAACCCACCCTGCTTTACTTTACAAACTTTTTATTTAATATATTGGGTCAGTTTTCTTAACTACTAAATGAAAAGGATCAGAGCTGATGATTATAAATAGGGAAGGTGTTGAAAATCTTTTATTCAGTTTTTTTTTTTTTTTTTTTTGGCGGAACTGGGGATTGAACTCAGGCCCTGGTACTTGCCAGGCAAGCACTTAGTCTACTGAGCTATCTCCCCGGCCCTGAAAATCTTTTATTCTTTACTGTAATTTACCTTGTCTCAGTCTCCAAGTTGTTAGGGCAAACCTCTTTTCCTTTTACAAATGTCCTAGATATTAGTTCTAGCAAGACTTCATTTACATAAAGATACTTAGTAGGTATCATGAGAAAGATTAGAGAAGTATAAAACACATAGCTAAGAAAAGGATTAAATCTAAATGTCATCAGTTTAAAAAGCCTGGTAATTAAATTTTATTTTTCATTTAGTCTTACCATTCATCTGTCATAAAGTTACTTAAAATGTAAAATTATCTGTATTTAAAAACTTTAATCACCTATTCCTATAAAGGAAATGTCAATTTTATTTATTTATTTATTTGTTTAGTATTACAGGCTTGATACAGAGCACTTTGGCCCACTGAGGACATAAGTAATAACCTAATCTAGACAATGAAGCTACATGACCTGGAATATTCTGTTTACTAATCTGTGATAATAAAAATTATCAAACATAGTAGTTTCCTTAAGATTTATAAAAGTGGTAGGAGATTTATTCATATCTTACAGGACCATTTTTCTCTAGTTAGAAATGTATGCACATTTTTGCATCATGTGACTTTTAAAACTCACAAATTATGATTTGATCATGGAATTATTAGTCTCTCCTAGTTTGCATACATCTCTAAAAATTATTTGAATAATTTTGCTTACAGATTAACTTATATTTTAATAAAAATCTGTATCAAATAAGTTCTTAAAAACTTAAATGTTTAATAATGACCGTTAACAATAAAATGATGGTAAGAAAACATAACATTTGTACACCATGTTTTTTTATACCATATGTTTCTGATATTAACAGTATAAACTGTGTATCAGATATACAATACAAAGTAAAATCGACTCTTTCCAAAACCTACTTGGATGAAATGACCGTAACCAAATTCATTTAGAAAGCCACTTGGGGCACTTCTGAGAGCTATGTAAGGATCATAACAACAAACATTTCTCTGAAGAAAAAAAACCAAAAACAACCCCTCCCTCCAAAAAAAAACAGAAAATAGAAGCAGTTGCTATAGTACTATTCCTAATAGAGAAAACCACTCTAATTTCAAGTAATAATAACAAAAAAACCCCATATAACGACATACTTTTAAAAGAAGCTTGCAGATTTCATATTTTCCTTTAGCTGCTGCTTCGTGTAGAGGGGTAAACTTCCATAAGTCTGCCACGTTAACAGAAGCTCCGTGCCTCACTAAAAGCTCAGCTACCTCATAGTGTCCATAGGAACAGGCATTATGAAGGGGCACCAGGCCGCTAAACAGAAGAAAATTATTTTCAAGTTGCAAAACAAATCTTTGTGTTAAAATGATTCTTAAAATACTCTTCAATGGCACTGACTACAGTGAACACCCACTCAGCAAGAGTAATTTCCTTTAGTCCCTTTAGATAGTCATTCATTTATTAAAAAAAAAAAAAATTACAATTTTCAAAGGTTCACCTCAATGTAAACACTTTTCTTTCTGTTCATGGGGATGTGTGTGTGTGTGTGTGTGTGTGTGTGTGTATACACATACACATATATACACATATATGTATATATGTGTGTATATTAGCCATCATTATTCTTAAAATACATATAGAAATATATTTATAAAACAAAGTTTTATCACAATAGAGTACTTTCAATTCAAATTTTTACTCAGGTACTCTGAAGATCTATACTACAAGTAATTTTAGGAATAAGTAGCTAACAATATGGTTTTATCATCTCAGATTTTTCTTCCCATTTGGGTTTTACTAATAAAAATTCTATGCTTAGTTTTTTTTTTTTTGGAACCAGAAATCAAACTCAGGACCTTTCACTTGCTAGGCAGGCGCTGTGACACTGAGCTATATCTTGGCCCCTACACTTACTAATAAACAACAGAATTCTATTTAGTTGGGCAGGTCTTATTTATTTATTTATTAATTTTTTGCTTATTTTAAAATTCATAATGACTCATAGTAGTGTGTGTATAAAAATTTAAATAATGACATGCCAAGAAGTGAAAACTCACAATGCAAGTGATTTTCACTATAGGAAATAATGACACAAATTATAAATTCTCAGGTAAGAAACTCTAGTTGCCTCGATTTATTAAGAAACTATTCTGAGATGACTTCCTGTCCTAATTTAAAAGCATGTGACACTCTAAAAGGACAAAAAGATGTCCTATAAAAAGGGTACATAAAGTCAGGTTCTGTGGCAGAGGTTTATACTCTTGGCAATCTGAAAAGTTGAAGCAGAGGATCACAAGTTCAAGCCCAGTCTGAGCAATTTAGTGAGACTGTCTCAAAAAGCATGAGGGGAAGGAGCTGTGGAACCTAAAAGGATGACAAGAAAGCCAGAAAGGAGACTGTTATTTGATACGAGGAAGGGAAGCAGGGGGAGAAAAAGGGAGTGCGGAAGAGGGGACATGGATATAATCAAGACAAATTATACACACTGACTCCCCAAGAAACCAAGTGAACCAAGAGGGAATGAGTAAGGTGTTGGGGGGGGGGGATCAAAGTGTGTTATGTTCGTGTACAAATCTGCTGAAATGAAACCCATTAATCTGTATAACTAAAATATGCCAATAAAAAAGTGAGAAAAGTGGGTGAGGACACAGCTCAGTTCAGCCCTGGGTTTAATCTCCAGTACCACCACTGTCCCTCAAAAAGGAGGAAGGCTAAGTTGTACTTTAGACATGGCAAAACCAAGATAGCATTAAATGCCTTCATTTAAAGATGGGTGCCTTCTTAGAGAATGTTTTCTGATGAAAATACACTAGGTGCTAAAAGAAGCATCAGAAACAAATTCTGGCTGCTCTGTAATACACCACAGCATTTCAAAAGAGCCACTGATACTGTTATTGAATATTTATATCTGATATATCCCTTAAAGAAATACACGATGGTTAACTGAAGCCTAAATTGTGTAGTTCAATTCTATAGCCCCTTGGTATATAATTGCACAGAAAGGTGGTGGCTTATTTTGAGATGATATGAAATTAACTCAGAATACAGAAACTTATATCAGTGATAATTTCCTTATATTTCTCAGGAGCTTCAACAGCTACTTTAAGCTTTATGAGGATAAAGTAAAATAATTTATCAAATTAATATAAAGACAAGATAATTGAATAAAAATAAAGTTATACATCTATTAAAACTGATGATTGTGGAATGGATGGCTTCTCTTTTTGACATTTTAATAGCAAAATATAAAATAAAGTGATATAGGAAATTACAAACTACATGAAAACACATAATGTAATAAAATTCTATATTTGTATAGAATTAAAAGTATTAAAGGGTGAGATGAACTATGAAGTACCAATATGGGAACACATCAAGGTAAAGTGCAGAGACTATATAACCACATTGCCACTTATGTTAAAAACCACCACCACTACAGCACATAAATACTGGAATATACATTTGAAACAGCTGGAGATTTACATACAAAATATTCATATAGGGTTAGCGCAGTTGTCTAAAGCGCCTTTGTTAGCAAAATCAGTCAGGGGCAAGGGATTGCGATTTGATCCCCAGCACCATATGCTGCACCAGACCTGCCCTCAAGGCAGCCTAAGCCAGCACAAAAAAAAAAAAAAAAAAATCATTCTCAAATTAAAAAAAGAAAGGTCATATTGTATCTCTAGATGGTGGGCTCAGAATTTTCACTTTCTAAACTGTACCTTTCTGCAATGTATAAATGTATGATTTGAACAAAATGCTACACACTATTCTTTTAATGGGAAAAAAAACCTGACTTCACAATTACTTTAAAAACTTCAAAGTACATAAAGAGGCAGATTCTCAACCCTAACGCTGCACACTTACCCTTTGTCTTTGGCATGGACGTCGGCACCATGGTGCAGAAGGTACTCCACAACAGAAACACGATTGTAGCCTGCCGCGAAGTGCAAGGGTGTGGAGTGCCGGCCCTCCAGATCTCTGCAATTCACATTTTGGGGGCTGCAAAGTTGCTTTTATAGGGTAGACACAGAGATACATACAGAAAAAACATTAATGTTCATTCATAGGCTTTGCTCTACAATACTGTAACACCTTGAATATGTTGTAATTATCTAGTGAATATTTACTTTCAAAGAAAAGGTGATACAAATGATGCTTAAAAATCAGCATGACACTTGGCTTTACAATGATGGCAAATATTCTTACTAGTGTGGTGTAAATGAATCTTTGTCATCCTTTTCTTGGCCCATATCATACTCAAACAGAAAAACTCAGAATAAAGCGGGCATTTCCAAGCCAATGAAACCCCCCCCTTTTTTTTTTTTTTTTTTTGCATCTTTGGAAGTCTCTGCTGCATGAGACTGCTTATCATAGCATATCTGCTTGTTAAAATGCTGTCAGTCAATACTTTACTCAAATAAGAGTAACTCCAGTTGTCTATAGAACTAGAGTTCTGTCTCCTCTAATGTGGATTAAACAAGTAAAGGACTTTGGAGAGATTACTTTTTTTTTTTTTTTTTAATGTATTTTGGTACAGGGTCTCACTAAGTAGTACAGGGTCCCACTACGCAGCTCAGACTTGTAGTGATCCTCCTGTTCTCAGCTTCTCCAGTGCTGGGATTACAGGTGTGCACCACCATGCCTGGACTCTGGAAAGATTACCTTTATGCTTGGGCCACTCACCTGGGGCTTTACTCTGAAGTAAAAAATCCTTACAACAATGCTTTGGGAAGATATTTAATCCCACAAATTAAAAATTGCTTTAATCACACTCTAGCTTTAACTTTTATTGTCATCTCATTCTGAGATGTCCTCCAAATTTCCTATCTTCCTCTATCTTTAAATGTTTCTGTTTCTGCAGAATATAAATTATAAGCTCAATTATGTTTGTCTATAAAGCAGTTGGAAGCACAAAGAAGGAGAGGCTGCATCACTGGTGGTGATAGGTAAACTATCATAACACTGGATCACTCTTTTCAGAGAGGGGATTATATCTATCTGTGAAGTTAATCAGTATCTTCATTTTACAGAAAAACAAACCCAGGCTCAGACAGCTTAAGTGACTTATCCTACTCAATAATCATAAGGGGTAGCTTAAAGATTCAAACTGTTTTACTGATTTTTAATCTCTTGATCTTTTAGCAAAAACATCACATATCATATATCCTTACTCACTTTCTTAATTATTCAACTTCAAGGAAGTGAAAAGAACAAAGGTAGTAAGACAAAAAGTCAAAGTAGAGAAAACAGTAGCATTTCCTAGGCTACTAAGTATGATTGGAGAGGATTTCTAGGTTATTTGCAAATCTTGCTGTCACTCTTACCACTGCAATGTGCTATTATTATATAAAAACTAAGAACGTAAAAGATCTTTTTTCTGATATATTGAATAGGAGTGCTATGGTTTCAATATTTGTTTCCTTCCAAAATTCAGGTTGAAATTTAATTTCTAATGCAACAGTATCAAGAGGTGTGGCCATTAGGAAGCAATTAAATTATGAGGGTTTCTCTCTTATGACTAGGATTAAGGGCCTTGTAAGAGGCACACACAGTATTCTCCTCTCTTTGTCCTGCCATGTGACACAGCACCTGTTCCCTCCAAGGAATACAGTAACAAGGTGCCATCTTGGAAGCTGAATGAATGGTTCCCACGAGACATTGAAACTGCCAGAGCCTGAACCCTTAGACCAGTTTCCATTTACAAGTTACTCAGATGCTTCTATTTACAAGTTACCCAGTCTATGGTATTTTGCTATAGCAGCACAAATGCATTAAGACATGGAACATTCACACTGGTAAGATAAAAATGACAGCTTTAATGTAATTTTCACATGACAGGAGAAAATCTGACCAGCAAGGGAGACCTCATGAATTCATCAAAACTAGATGAAAAAGCACCAGTCTCTAAAATCTAATCTGCCATTACTACCTGGCCAAGTGAAGTAACTTATCATTTCTATACACAGGTAAGACAACAGAAAAATACAATTATGTGACTAAGAATAAATATATAATCTAAAAAGAAAGAATACAAAAATTGGCAGTAAGGTTCTTCTGTGACATGTTATATAACCGAAGCTGCTCCCTGTGTTGCCTTTTGCCCTGGTTCTTACATTATAAATGATTATTATTTTTACAGAAAATATTAGAAAACTGGGATATGGAAGGGAATGAAACAACCAACTTTGGGAGGTTATAAAAGTAAAATCCCATTCTGTTTACTAAATATTTGCATTTTAATCTTTGTAAGTTCTTTATTTCTCGTTTCATTTCTTTTTGAATGCCAAGAAAATTTTATATTCTTCCTATTTTTCACAATTTCAAACTCTTTATTCTGCAATAGTTTTTTTTTTCCTAGTATTTCTATCCTTTCTACAGTTCTTGGGAAAGACATTTATCAGGTCTGATTCTGATTTAATCTGTGTCACTGACATACACATTCCACTAAATTTTACAAATCATTTGATTTACTAAAAATAAATTTGGCCTTCATTGTGAATGTACTGTTTAGTAAACTTAAAGGCTATACTATATATTTGTGTAAAAGTTATACATTTAAAAATGCTGATTATAATGAGTACATGTAGCAATTCTAGTGCTGAGATCATCGTATCATACAATGAAAATGAATCCTAATTGCTTAAGGAGTTTCTGTTATTAGGATACATTTCGAATGATAGAAAGCAGGGGCCAGAGAGATGGCTCAGTAGAATAAGCGCTTCCCTAGCAAGTGCAAGGGTCTGAGTTCAATCCCCGGTTCCACCAAAAAACAAACAAACAAACAAAAAATAAAATAAAAAGCAAATACAGTTTTAGATCTAAAAAAACTTAAAATTTTTTTCCCAGGGAACACTATAACTAAAATTTACTTTTTAAACAATAACTTAAGAAACTACTGAGGTGGACAAGACCCTGCAAGTGCCTACATACTGAAACTAAAATGAAATTTCTAGGCAACAAAAATTAGCGCTTATTTTCATCTTTAACCAGTACGTCATCAAGAATGTTAACATTACTTTGCTTAAAATAATGAAAACAGAGTTTGCTTCAGAAGAGGTGATATGCTAGTTTGCAAAAAAGAAGTATTTCACAATTAGCCTTTCTTTAAAAATAATAATAACAAAAGATCAGCCCTTAAATGAAAATAAAAACTATTATCCCTTCTGCTAATTTTATCCCTAAATGAATAATTAATGATAGCAGCTTCAGTTTTAAAAATTCATTAGAGTTTTATTTTGAAAAAAATTAGATCTACAGCCACTGTTTCTCTACTACAAATAAAGAATGATGTTTTCTCCACAAGTACATTTATATGGAAAAGGAAATTTATCATTTGCATATAAATAATTCCCAATGGTTGAGGGATCATAAGAATGCTTTCTTAAAAGAAGTACGAGAATATTTGGGAAAAGATCAAGAAACATCATTTATGTTATCCTACTAATACCTGGCCTTGAACGAATTCACATATTTTATTACTATGCCTTAAAAAATGCTTTAATTAATTTAAGTGAGAACAGAAAAAACACTTTCACATTAACTGAAGATAAATGACTAAAAAGCAAGCATGTATATGTACACGTGTTCCTGTGAGTATTTATATAGCTATATATTTTTTCTAATGGATTAGCTGCTATACTGGGAAACCCTAATAGTGAAGTTTTCTCCTATCTATAGATATACTCTGTCCATTTTTTAAGTTTTTAATTTTGTTTTTATCGTTTGGCTATACGCAGTTTTGTTTATCAGTTTAAAAATGAAAGAACAGCAAAGCTCAACAGCACCAACCCAAGTATCAAGTCACTGACTTACCTTCACAGTTTCCAAGTCACCAGCTTTCGATGCTTCTAAAAGTCGGTAGTCAACATCAGAAGTACGGATAGGTGTGCTCTCTGCGTAACAGAAAGGAAACGTTACCCTTGACAATGTTACACTGGAGAATTACAGAGCAGCCAAGGAGGGATGATTATTTGGTGAGTAGAAACAGATTAATGTGTTGCAAACTTCTGACGTAATGAAAGTACTCTGCCCAACTTTTTACAGGTAAGAACTAAGTTCTTTCTTAATCCATACATCATCCAAAGCCAAACTGAAATAAATTTTAATATATACAAATCCTTCTGTAGCTCCACAATGCTATCCCACAGATTTTCTGGTTATAACTTTTACAGAAGGTAGTGAGGAAAACCTAAGACCAGGAGATCAACAACATTTATGATACATGGGTGTCACAAAGCTTTGCCAACAGATTTATTATGTAAACTCACGGAAGTTACCCGAGTTTTACTACTGAATGATAAGTTTTTCTTTTTAGCTTGTGTCCTCAATATAAAGCAGAAATATCACTCCTGAAATCAGAAAGATCTTAGAATGTATAATTAGTGAATAAAATAGGCCTACTGTAGACACTTGATTCACATTTATTGAGTGGCTTCAAGGGAATGTATTTAATATACCTATGTAACTGGAAGGCATGATACCAATGCTAAACAGAAAGGCTGACAATACAGGTATTTTGATTAATCTAATATATAAACAAACCAGAAACTCATTTCACTATGTGTAACTTTGGATGAATCATGATGTAAGTTTCATTTTTGCACTTAAAAATTGAGAGTTTCCCTCAAAAAGGTGACAAACTAGTTTGTAGAAGTAAAAAGTAGACTTAGACTGCATTATCTTATGATCAGAGATAACTTTTGAGGCTACTGTCCAAGTGGGAAGATCAAGTGATGCTATGAAAGTGTTTTAGATTTCAGAAGAAATATGTTAACCCTAAAGTATTTGTTCAGGAGAGTGACTTTTACAGAGCAAGTTATGAGAACTTTTAATGAAAGATAAACAATTTGATTACAAGATTACTTAGCAGATGAAGATTTAATATAGTATCTCATATAATAAAAGTTTTTTTTTTTTTTTTTTTTTTGGCGGAACCGGGGATTGAACTCAGATCCTTGCGTTTGCCGGTCAAGCACTTATCCTACTGAGCCATCTCCCCAGCCCCTAAAGTATTTCTCAGAAAGAGAATCTGTTAGTTTCTGGAATTGATGAGGAAAGAAACTCATTTTTTTTTTTTTTAATTTTAGGGAAGCATCTACAGGGTGTTCAGGATCTCACTACTAGATGGGACTCATACTGATCTGCCTGTGTACAGCCTCCCAAGAGCTGAGATTACAGGCACATGCCACCACGCTCAGTCTCAATTACCCTCTCAGGGCACCCCAGGGGCAGGGCTGGCACGGCAAACCCGGAGATCAAACACCCAGCCCCTGCATCTGCTTGCAGACGCTTTAATTCTCTGAGCTATTTGGCCGGCCCTTCATTTTCTATTCCTTTCTATATGGAAAATATTCAGAAAATATCTACTGAACTGATTTTCATGCCATTTTATTTGGGATCAATGTGTACATCAAACCCTAGCTCTTTCTCCGTCTGCCTCTATTATATCCTCTCCTATGTCGTCTGTCCTCCTCCTAACTGTGCACGCAAACACTGCACTTATGGGTGTCTTTGCATGTGCACTGTTTTCAAAACAGTGATTCTGGTAGTTAACAAAACTCATTGAACAGTCTTTGGGTATCTATAGGTAATATTTTTGTTTTTCATTCAAACAAAGGGTGCTTGTTTATGTATGTAGAGTTACAACTTAAGGCTATTTTTGAGATTTTAGCATTGAACGATTAAATTAATATGGTTGAGTTTTAAAATACTACAGACAATTTGAAATTGAGACATTACTATCATGAAGATGGATTAAATAAAAGGTGTAAATATTCCAATCAAGAAAATGTTTCATGCATATGTAAGATGCTTATAAGAACTATGAAGAAGAAAGGAAAGGAAAGGAAAGATACTGATTAACGTGTTCCAGCCAGCTTGAACCCCTGGTAGTACATTCCTGAATACCCCTGAATATCAGATGCCTTATACCACTGCTGGTACAAATGGATCTAATCACTTTTATCAGCCTTTTCATTAACAGAATTAATAAAAAGTTGCCTGGTGGGACAGTTGTGTATCTATCATCAGAAATTCAAACCCCCTAGCAGTGAAATATATATTCCAAGAACTTTGTACAAAGTTATATACAAGTAAAAGAATAGAAAGATAAAAGTTAAAAAGGGAACACAGGGATCAGAAGAGTAGCTGATATCCAAAGTACTGCATTAGTAAAATCTTTTGCAAGTAAAGTGCCTTTTGAAGAATATGAAATTAAAGACATTACCTACAGTCACAGATTGGAGATGGGCTTCTAATTTTTTTCTCTGATCCTAGTCTGGCTCAACAGACAATATTTCAAGGGTTGGGATGCAGTCTGTTATTTTTAAATAATCTTTAGTCGACTGCTTCTTTAGGATTAGACCACTGAATTGGCACTAGAGTTTAGTAGTTTCTTTCAATGTGTCACTGTAGGTGAAATCCCAATGTTTAATGTAGCAATTATAAGTCCCTAAATCCTTATCTGTGGAAAGAATTAGATGAAAGTAATTGTTATCCCACATGAACATATATAATCAGAAAAATTCAGCTCAAAATCTAACCTAAAGAACTATCTGTGGACTGGTGAGATAGCTCAGTGGATCAAGCCCCTGCTTATTAAGCACAGGGACTAAGGATCGATCCCCAGCACCACTTGCTGCACTGGCCACTGAGAACAGGTATGCTGAGCCTCCTACTGAGTCTGGGCATTGTGGAGCAGGCGTAATCTCAGCACTAGGGAGGCTGAAAACAGGAGGATCACTATGAGTCCCAGATGTATAATGAGGTCCTGTACCAAACACATTAAAAAAAAAAATTAAAAGTTAAAAACTTTTTTTTTTCTTTTTTAAAAGAACTAT